ATTGTGGTGGCAGTGCATTCTAAAACCGCGTAAAACGTGTCTTTTTTGTTAAAAACGGGACTAAGCCTTGGGCGGCGGCGAGAGACTCCAAGGTGCGTCGCCATTTTCATTTTCCCCAGAGCTCCTACCCCTCCTAGGGTTATTCCTGGAGGATGCCTCGTATATTCGATAGCGCCCAAATTTGTATTAAGGTCTGCTCAGTATTTGAGAAGTGTGTCAGTAAAGGGCAAGAAATACTTGGAGCTTAAAGGTCCACTACATGGTCCACTCCATCTTCCTTCATTAGCTGCCTCTCATGACAATGAACTGCTCCATGATTCCTTGACACCTTGATAACAACAAACTGTCTTCCTTTCTCCGCGGTACGGGGACATTTTTGGAGCGCGGGCGCTGTGACACGCATGCGAATCACATGGTCGTCAAGGTACCGGACTTATAGCAGGCCGCAGGGAATCGAAGCCGTATAAACCGGTAAACTCATTATCCATTCAGGTGTTCCTCTATCGAAACTTTAGTTCGAACTGTGAACGTGTTCTGGTCATTTTGCACATCATGAATAGAAAATTGAAATGCTGTATCTCCCTGAGTAATTTTTTTTAAAGTCTTGGCTGTGTACTGAAGTTTTATTATTTTACTGTATTCATATTTTCCGTTACAGGAGAATCCCCCACTGTCACATTTTCTGGAGCTTTGTGCTGACCGTGTGAAAAACACGGGGCCGAAGGAGTTCGTTGCATGGATGAAGGAACTGAAAATGATGATGCAACGAGGCAAAGCTGTGTACCCTCCAGAAGAGTGAGTCATTCTAATGTGGTTCGAAGTAGGAACGTGTATGGGTACGGTAGCTGAATAGTTTGTGGATATAGTCAACAGGTTGAAAAGAAGAAAAAGTACTGAGTGAAAATTATTTCTCAGAATTTTTTTATGCTCCATTGATGCGCCACGCATTCGACCTTCATTGAATAGTTGAGACGAGTTCCGAATTACATAACTTTCATACGTTTGAAGGAGAGACTTTCAGTTCTCCACTTGAGTTCTCAGGTCACCAGAGCTGCGCGATAACTGAATCCTAAAGTTAAGCTTGGGTTTAGTCATAGGCTTAAGCTCATGCTTATGGTTAATGTTTAAGCCTATAATTGGGCCAGGCTAAGTTCTAAGCTTGCTTCAAGCAACATTTGGTATGCTCTCATCCTAGCGTGACCTGAGGGGAGGGAGGAGACGGCAAAACGCATCGGGCAACAGCTAGCCAACTTTCAAAGTCAGTGCTTCCAGCTTCAGTCAGTGGTCTCGGGAATTACGCGGCTAGGAAGAGACCTCTAACGGAGGCAAGCTAATTGAGTGACCTTAGTGAGTTCTAGTCACGGATCGTTACGCATGGCGGTGCATTTCCACGCATTGTCTGGAGAAAGCGAAAAAATTGTTTATCTATTATTATCCGTAACGCAAGGCCTAGAAACGAAGAAAATTAATTTAGGCGAAGTAGACGTGTTTCCAACCAAGCCTCGAGTCCCTCATTTCTCCTTCGAACATCGTTCAAATATCTTGTGGCGGAACCTGCTCTACTAGTGACCGTAAGTGATAAAGGATAAAGCATTTGCCGTTGATCAATCCCTTTTGGGATGCGGCACGCATTCTACTTCCATTTGTACATTCGTAGTGGCGTTTGAATGCGATGTGGCCTATACAATGACTTGCGGGGCCAGCCGATGTACAAGTCAGTGTTTTTATCCTCCCAGACAAGTCTGGTACCAATTAACCGACCCCGGAGGGATGGAAGGCTTGGTTGGCCCGGGCGACTCACGACCCAGGATTTGATCCCCGGACCGCTCGCGTGGTAAGCGCGCCACTTGCCACTACACCACTTCCGCCAGTGATTACATATTTACATCCCTTCTCCCATCTTTCTGGCAGATTGGTAATATCGTCACGAAAATACGGTTTCAATATATGCTCTTATTCTTATTATCTTACCTTTATTATTAACGAAGGCTTATAAGTAAAGTTAGGTGCACCATCTAAAACATACGCTTTGCTTCCGAAAACCAGATGCGCGTCGAGTGCAGACCACACACCACAAGTGACGACGGCCTCCACAAAATGTAAATGTTTTCTGCCAATGAAATGATTAGCCTGTTGCAGTTGTATTCTATCAGTTGTCACTAATTACAACTATCATTTACCCAAATCAGCTATCACTATGAACCACTACTAACCAGATTTACTTGGAGGCCGTCGTCACTTGTGGTGTGTGGTCTGCACTCGACGCGTTCTCGTTTTCGGAAGCGGAGTACATGTTGCTTATGCTTTCCTGATATTGAGCAGATTTTTAATTGGAGAGGATTCCAAGGCAAGTTCATTTTCAGTCCTGAATTCGCAAAACAGTTCATGACGATAGTCGAATTCTATGTGCGTGGACGGATTACGAAAGCATCGCGCTCTTGAAACGTTGAGAGGATTTCTCAGCAACGTTACAGGATGCAGAGCAGGTGCAGCCGTTTAGAAACGTATCACTCCTGAGGAAAATTGTTATATCGAAAATGTTCTCAGCTTCTCAATGAGAACAACTTGTGGCGAATAACAGACGAGACCGCCATAAATAAGGTGGTGGAGGAAGTCCTGGCGAAGAACGAGAAGCTGCTGGAAAAAGCATCAGCCGGTCACGCGAGGTCGTTGACCCGGCTCAGAAATCTTGTTGTCGACTCGTCTAAGAAGCGAATAGACGTCCAACAGGCTGAGAATGCTGTCATGGCTAGCTTGACCAAAATGAAAGATCCTTCACGGTAAGCAGCTGAACTGTGACTTTAGGTCCTACTAAGGTGCTTCATGTTGTTATAGATATTGCCTTTGTACTGATGATCTGTAATTATGTCCACGTTGAATGAATTGTTTAATGGTTTATTTTTTCCATCTTTTCTTCTAAAATTACTGGATGGCAGA